CCGTCTCGAACTTGCTGGTGCCCTGTTTCCAGACGAAGTTGCGACCCCCCCACGCGAATCGCCGCGGTGTCCATAGCACATGCTTGTTGCGATCTGGCTTGTCGACTACCGGGATGGGGGAGGAGGTGTAGTGGGTGAGCTGGCGCCCGACCCCGCCGTCCAGCGAGCTGCCCGTGCTTTGCACCGGGTTCACGATGGTCTGTACGCAAGGCGAAGTGAATTCCGTTGCACGTGAGAGCACGGTCTGGCTGACTTGGTAGCGGCGGCGTTTCAGGCCCTGAAGGACGTAGAGAGTCTGTCGCTCGGCTGCGTCTTTGACCTTGAAGTAATACCAACGCCCAGAGGTGATGATGTTCTCCATGCTGATATACACGTGGAAAACCGTGTCAGGCGCGCTCTTGTCGAGTGCAGGGGTGTAGAACGGAATAGAGCGTGTGGCGCCATCTTGGCCCAAGGTGACCACATGCTGAATCTCAGGGTTCACAATGTTGGGGTGAGCCTTTGCATTGGCCAGAAATATGGCGATGGTGTTCTTGGGATTTGCCACGACGCCCTTTGGCGAGGTAGTTTGTGCTTGGTCGTGAAAGGGCTTCAAGGTCTTGGATAGCAGCACCTCATCCAGACTCAGGCTCGTCCGTCCATTGACCAGGGCGGCCAAGCTGTCGCGCGCACTGATCGACGAAGGTAAAACGACATCAAGACCTGGCTTCTGGCCGCTCAGGATCTGCTGCATTAGCAGCCGTCGCGAGGTATGATACTTGACTTGCTTGCGCGCTACTCTTTTTCTCTCACGGTCGAGGAACTTGGCGTCATCAGCAAGCTGGTTCAACGCGACGATGGCTCTGCCATGTTGGTCGAAGGCCTCTTGGAACCGGGAGTAGTGCTCGGCCTCGAAGGCCAGCCGACAAAGCTCGGCCACCTGCTGGTCAGTTTGCTGGGCTGCAGCTTCAGCCATCATAAATCACAGATAATGATGGATGCAGAAAGTAAATCGTAGGAAATGTAGTGCATGAATGAAGATTTAGTCAGGGGTTTGAAGGTCGGATCCGAGGCCAGGCAGCGATGAAAAGAAGGCGACTTTCGGGGCTGTGCTTGAAATAAGAAAATTACGGTAACTGAGGCCTCCTCATCGCACAATCAGTTGATCCTTCCGCCAACCTGATCTGGATAAGCTTAAAGAAAAAGGGCGGGGTGGTGGCCCTGTTAAAGTGGTATACGAAACATACGAAGACGCCATCACCTGCATTACATTCCATGCTGCTAGTGAGTATGTCGAATTTGATAGGAAAAGGGTCTTTCACTGATATATATGGAAAGAACTCACGCGATCTGGGAGACCGCAGAAGGATCAAACGTTTACCATGTGTGAAGTGACCACCCCTGCCCCTGTCAGCAGCATGCAGATTCCAGTGATGTGGAACGTCCTGTTTTTGACAAACTAATTTAGCCCTGAAATCGAGCAAGGCACTCCTATTTCCTTCTCTCAAAATCAAAGAAGAGTCTGGAAATGCGACGAATATCTCTTGACATTGCAGATGGGAAGCCCGGCTTCAAGATTGAGGGGATTTTCTTCAGGCCTCAGTAACGGTGGCGCATAATATTGCACATACTCGGCTCAATTTATGACGACCGGCAACACGCTGCATTTCTGCAGCTCAGCTTGACTCTCAAGAACGGGTGGGCACCGAAGTACATTTACCATCATTTTATCGGGTTTGAGAAGAGGCATATCCCTAAAGAATATCCTATCAATGACGAGGTTCGATTCAAACTGGCCGATTAGGAGCTGAATGTATTGTGAAGGTTGATCAGACAGTATTCTGGGGGAATCACAGCTTTTTAGTAATCCGGGCGACGATGGCTTCGGTCACCTCCTGCTAAATTCATGAAGAACTAAGAGGGGAAAGATCCTGGGGCTAAAATGCAAGTGGAGATTGTCTGGGGTATCATGCATCAAAGATCCAGCTACCACAGCGTCTGCATCTTGATTGCATTCTACACATGGTTGCTGCCTTCATAGTTCAAATGCGGGGAAGTGTGAGAGCTACAATTGCCAAGCACTTCCAAGGAATCGGAATAGTCCCTTCCAGCTTGCCCAATGTTAAGGAAGGCTGCCTAGATGGTAGCCAAGGCTGGTGATAGGTTGGATGCATCCACTGCTAAATCACCTGTCCTAGCCCTCGAGCCCTTCACCGGCTGGTCAAATCACTCCCAAAATAAGGTTCGATGAGAACTAATTTCTATGTAGGTCACTCTGGGACGATCTTTAGGGTTGTGGATTAAGTTATCCGCCCCCGCGGTCTGGTAAATTAATGCATTGACCTCTATTGGTTCCAGAGCGCTCTAATCGGAATCGAAGCGATGCATCGCGGATTCGGAATTAGGTGTACACGAGCGATTCCGTTTGGTGTGTAGTAGTAATTACAACGTACTCTGTCATGCATTCCCTTGCCAGTTACAAAAGACGACATTCTCCATCCTGAGTTGTCTCACAATGCTTGTTTGATATACCATCGCGAAGTTTTGCTTGTAATAAGACAACTGAACAGAACAGTAGCAACTTGGTGCAACTTTCATCATGGCTAGTTCTAATGAGAAGGCACAAGATGCCCAAGAGGTCGAGCAGTAAGCAACCCGACCCCTTGATATACTCAAAGATTGACCTTTCTAACGAGGGATTCAATAGGATCGAGATCGCCTCATCGACACCATACCTTGACCGCAATGAAGAACGGCGACTATGTCGAAAGATTGACCTTGTCATCATGCCTACAGTCTGCCTACTGTTTCTCGCATGCGTCATCGACCGTGCCAATATTGGTACTTCTCCCTTGTTCAGAACCTACCGTTTCACGCTCTCGTTTACTCAACTTTGGTGGCAGGTAATGCTCGGATTGCGGGCTTCGAAAAAGATTTGGGCATGGCGGGCACCGATTACAACGCCACCCTCTCTCTCTTCTTCGTCTCATATATCGTATTCGAGATCCCCTGCAACATTCTTTGCAAAATCATCGGCCCTGGCTGGTTTCTCCCCGCGATGACCGTCATGTTCGGGATATGCTCTATCTGCAACGGCCTAGTAACGACAAAGGCACAGGCTATGGGGGTTCGCTTCATTCTTGGCTTGTTTGAGGCTGGAATGCTGCCCGGGATCGCGTACTACCTCTCCCGCTGGTATCGCCGTGATGAGCTCTCCTTCCGCCTGGCATGCTACATCGTCATGAGTCCACTAGCGGGTGCAACGGGGGCCTTACTGGCATCAGCGATCCTAACACTAGACAACTTTGCTGGGCTTCATACCTGGCGAATGATTTTCGTCATCGAAGGGATTGCTACCACTGGCATCGGCCTGATTGCTTTCCTCACGCTGACGGACAGCCCCTCCAGCGCTCGCTGGCTTACACAGAGCCAAAAGGAGCTCGCCGAGGCGCGTCTGCGTTCAGAGCGTGTCGGGCAGACTAAAGTCCTGGATAAAATCGATAAAACCAAGCTGCGGCGAGGTATCCTCAATCCTATCACGCTGACCACATCCGTTGTGTTCTTCCTTGGAAGCATCACAGCTCAGGGTTTCAGCGTGTTCGCTCCCACAGTCGTCCGGAGCATTTTCAGTGACAGGACTGTGGTCCAGCAGCAGCTTCTCACTGCTCCTCCCTACTTCTTTGGCGCCGTGTGCACATTCTTTGCTGGGTTCGTTAGCTGGAAAACAGATCGCAGGCAAATCATCCTGGTGCTCTCCACACCGACCGCTATTATTGGGTACATCATATTCCTCGCGACCGACAACCAGATCGCACGATACGCGGCAACTTACATCATCGCCTCTCTGATATTCCTCTGCGGAGCTCTTTGCAACGGGCAGATTTCGGCCAACGTGGTGTCCGATACAGCAAGGTCCTCGGCCATTGGGTGGAATGTCATGATCGGCAACATGGGTGGTCTTGTATCGACGTGGTCGTTTTTGTCTTGGGATGGGCCTAACTTTCCTATCGGAAATGGTCTCAATTTGGCTTCTAATGTCTGCTTTCTTCTCATCACAGTGGGCACCCTCTTTTGGATGAGGAAAGATAATAAACGGAGAGACATGGAACAGGAAGCAGGAGAGGCTCAGCTTGAAGGCATGACTGAGCAGGAGATTGAGGACTTGGATTGGAAGCATCCTTCTTTCCGGTGGAAGGTTTAGGTTGCCCGCGTTTGTCATTCGAGCCATTGGTGTGTTTAGCTTGAGATCCATTCTTGTACACCATGAAATCCTAAGATTTATTGACACTATATAACAGCATGCTATCTATTTCACGCGAAGTGTTGGTAAGCACCGAGAGGATGCAGGTTATCATCGGCGGCCACTTCTCGCATTTTCATATGTAATCGAATGCCCAATAAACATACTCTAGATAGTGCTGTTAGACTTGACTTTCGGCCATATCTCGTTTTGTCCTTAACCCACTTAGTGGCCAAGGTTGAACACAGACATATAGCTAAGACCCCTGGAGCTTGAAGGTAATGGAAGGTCACCGCTGATTAGTATCGAGCATTTTGTAGCCCTCATTCGCCCGCATAAACCCTCCCCCACCGAACCTTATCGACTTTTATTAACCACCGACCCTGACATAATGATATCGTTCGAGGCAACGTTGCAATAGGTTCGGTGAGGGGTAAATTGACATTATCCGGAAATCACCCCCGAAGTGGAATGTTTATGGCCTATGAGAGCGTTCAATTGAAGAGTCAAGACATACCTACTGACCCATTCCTCCACAAATTCCTTGCTGGGTAGACATTTTTGGCGATGAACTGCATTGATAATGCACCAATGGCCCAACTAAAACCAAGAAAAGCAGCCGACTGAACCATCGGCTATTTGAGAATGAGCAAATGTGGGAGTATATCAATGGTTAATGTTTGGTGTTAATTACTTTGTTCAAAGGCCACATCGAACAACCCCTATTTTCAGCCCGACCCAGTGACCGGTTTGCTTCATTGGACCCGCCAAACTGGCCGCCATGAGATCTTTTTTGGGGGGCATTGTTGCCTTGGCTCTTCAGTCCTCAATCGCCTTTGGAAATAATTGTGACACGAGTAGATCAATTCGCCTTGACCTCGAAGACTTCTTCAACAACAAAGCTTTCGGTTCCAAACCTGGAGAGGCTGATTTTGACTCGAAAGGCAGCTCGTATCCTGCACCTGATTTCATTGATTCCCTCGACTATAAATCTTCCGTCACGGGCATTCGATTTTCTTTTCCAGGTTACGTTGAGTCTGGTGCCAATGACAACATAATTTGCGATGGGCAGGTGATTGATGTCCCCGAGGGACATTTTTTCTCTGCGTCGTTCTTACTGTCTAATGACAAAGAGCTTGCAACCGTTTCTAAAAATGTGACCTTTACATATGAGGACGGGTCGACATCGCTCTATAACCTTCGCACACTGGCGTGGTTTAACCTCCTCACAATCAATCGCGGTGAGATCATTTTCCCAAAGCGCTTCACGAGTACGGCCGTCAATTGGAATACTTCTCATATCTTCGAGCGCACTGCTGCGCTTGATCCTGGGAAAAAGTTGAAGACAATCACTCTCCCGACAACCACAAATACAACAGAAGGCAGAATGCATGTATTCGCGATCTCGCTGCACCAAGGTTCTGAAATTGGTATCCAGTCTGTTCGAGGAACCCAGAAGTGGGCCGATGATGATCAACAATCTCAGCTTATCGAGGTTACAATAAACAACGCGGGCTCCGAATGTGTTTCGGGAGATGGCCTCACTGTGAAATTGGAGGGCCATGGCTTTGAGATGAAATCTCCAGGTTCAATAAAGCGACTATGCCCAGGAGACCAAAAAGTTGCAACAGTTGCTGTCAAGCCATCGTCGTCTTTTCTCGGACAAGTGGGAGACTCTACCGTAAAGGCTACAGTTGAATACAGTGGCAGGGAACAGGGAAAAGTCTTCAAGGGAGTCAAGGTTGGACTCCGAGAGTGGACATCCGACCTCGACAACTTGGCGGAACATGAAGCGCCAGACTGGTTCAAGGATAATAAGTTTGGCATCATGATTCATTGTCAGTATATCCCGGGTTCTTCCCAGTTTTTCAAGTCACCCAGCTCAAACCGGTCCCAGGGGGCCCTTATTCTGTTCCTGGATGGGGGAATAGCAGCGAGTTCGAAAGCTACTCAGAGTGGTTCTGGTGGTGAGTGCACCCATGTTAACTGCATAGAGGATCAACTAAGAAGTCGTTCTCAAAGGTACTCAACAAACCCACTGGGTGACAGATCTAATTTCCGCGGATATCGTCTAGAGACCTTTGGCGAAGACTGGGCCTATGACGACTCCTTTGAAGAGTTTACCGGAGAGAAATTTGACAGCAAAGAATGGGTGGACCTCTTCGATGATGCAGGGGCAAAATATTTTGTCATTACAACTAAACACCACGGTCAGTAACATATTCTTTTGAGTCAATCGCTATGATTAAATAGCATACCTATGTTGCTATATAGATATGAACTCACTGATTTCTTGGGCTTGTTACTAAATTATTTCAATGACGCAGATGGATTTGCCCTTTGGGACACGAAGGAAACAAGTAACAGATCGGCCCTACACTATGGTCCTCAACGAGACGTTCTTAGGGAACTCTTCGATGCCGCAGCTACGTATCATCCAAACATGAAGCGAGGAACTTATTTCAGTCTCCCCGAATGGTTTAATCCAGATTATGGCGTCTATGGATTTGATCAATTCAACAAAACGGAGAACCCGGGAACTGTGAGTTGGCCGGGAGATCTGGCGACAAATCCATACACAGGGGAGAAGGAGACATACACTGGGCACATCCCCGTGGGTGACTTCATACAAGATCTTATGGTTCCACAAATGGAGCAGCTTGCATATGGCTACGGTACCGACATCATGTGGTGCGACTGCGGCGCCGCGAATGGAACCGCCGAGTTTGCCGCGAAATGGTTCAATCAAGTACGCCAGCAGAATCGTCACGTAGCCATCAACAGCCGGTGTGGAGTTCCCCAGGCTGCAGACTTTGACACGCCGGAATATCAGACCTTTTCCTCGGCTCAACATCACAAATGGGAGAGCAGCCAAGGAATGGACCCTTACAGTTACGGGTATAATCGTGCCACTCCAGATGAGGCATACATGAATGCCAGCACTATCATCAAAAACCTCGTGGACATGGTCTCCAAGAATGGTAACTTTTTGCTGGATATTGGCCCAAGGGCTGACGGAACTATTGTGGAACAAGCCGCAGACAATCTCAGAGAGGCCGGGAAATGGATAAAGCGTCATCAAGAGGCTATCTTCAATACGACTTACTGGTTTATACAAAGCGAGCTCGAGGGGCCGACTGAAGCCAGATTCACACAGACGGATGATGCTTTCTACATTCTCTTTTTGGATAAGCCTATAGTCCAAGGTGGATTTGTTGTTATCCAAGCTCCAATCCCTGTGCTGACTGGAGATGATATAACTCTGCTTGGTGGGGACGATGCTGTATCGCTGAACTATGAGATTTCAGGTGATGGAAGTGAGAAGTCTCTAAGCATTGAAATAGAGGAGAAAGAGCTGGAAAGAGAGGAATTCTGTTGGGTTTTCAAGATTCAATATAAGAGATAGGCCGGACTATCTAGTTGCAAGGGGATTGGCAAAGCACAAAAGGGCAAATCGAACTAGAACCCTCCATAGCCCCTTGTTACTCATATCTTAGGCTTATTTAGAGGGCGGCAAAGAAAGCTCATTGAATCAATGCCTCCTGAGATGATGGAATCACTTGTAATCATCTCAAGCAGCCCCGGGCTATCCGGGCTAGGAATATCGGCCCAGAAAAGATCACCATATCCTCGATTGAGGGTATCGGATTGACTGGAGAACTGGGACAATATTGGACATTAATAAAGAGAGGCAGGTATTTCTAACACCTAGGAAGTCGCGTGGGGAGCTTTCTATACAATGGATGAATGCTTAAGCAACTAAGTATATCGGTCCCTGGGTCGTCTTTGAAAAGAATATAGGGTGATTTACTTATGATAAAACTCATATTGATCATATGCAAGTCACATACACTAATCCGTGTTTAGTTTCACAAACACGGGGTCACAGATGACTTTGGGGCTTTAGAGAAGATATTGGGAACAGCCGTTTTATTATTTTAGAATGCATGCGCTATCAAAGATCAAGATCAAACGATCAAGGCATGGTTTGTTCAACCATGTGCCATCATCACCTGTTAGCTGACAAATAAAACCAGACGCCTGCCGCCGATGTAAATATAACCTTTTCGTTTCGTTGCCTAATTGGTGAATAAAAGATCCCCTGGATCTTATGGCAATGCTCTTCTGGTAATACTTTAAGCGGGAGCGCCACCGTTGACCAGCAGGTAGTCGACGTTCTGAGACCATGTCTCGGTCAAGAGACTGGTGCTATCGCTCAGCACGCGGGGACCCATCGAGAAGGTCAGCGGGAGAGACGGAAGGAAGGCGGCCTCGTTATGGCCGGCGACATACACGTCGTTGATGCTCAGAGAAAGCCTGGTGGCGTTGAACTCGAGCTGGAACGTCTTGGGGTTGCCGTCGTAAAAGTTGATGCCGTTGGCAGTGATGTCGATGGTCTTGCGCTGACCGCTCACAGCGCTCTCGAGGAAGAGCTGCGAGTTGGAGAATTTGGTGTTGTCCGTGTAGAAGCCGAAGTCGATTTGGCTGTAGAGAGACCCATCCTCATTGGGGCCGTTGTTGTACAGAGAAGCACCCCAGAAGACACGGGCAGCTGGCTGGGGCGAGAGGGAGAGGGAGAATCTGAAGATGCCCCATGTGAACTGCTGGTTGTTCAGAATGATGCTGCTGTTGGCGTTGCGCGTGTTGGCAGCGAGCTCGAATTTGGCCATATCATTGACCATTCTGGGGCAATTGCCGTATTCGCAATACCATCGTGCCTGGTCGAGTGTAGTAAATTGGTCCTCGAAGAAAATCTCGGTCGCCCGCGTCTCGAGAGATGAGGAGGAAGGGGCTGCTTGAACGGCTGTGGCCGCCAGGGCCAGTGCAGTAGTCAAGAAGTTGATGATTGCCATCTTGCTGTCGTTATCGTGAAGGTCGTGGGAATGAATGAGCGGATGAGAGAATGAATCTGGTCTCAAAATGAATACGAGAGTATTAAGGAGAGGACTCGAGAGGACTCGAGCTCCTTTAGTAGGCCCAGCCCACTCTTAATGCTTGTGAATCATGGGTGCTTGCTTTGTGCCAAGATCAATGAAGAAGACAAACCTGTCGACATTGATTGACTGCTTCTTAAACTGCTATTCTATTCTGGAATAGCGCCCGACAAACAAGACTGCTATTGGCCGCTCACATTCATCTCTGTTTCAGGAGCCGTCAAAGTGCCAGGCACGGGCCTTGGTGGAGGCCATGAAATGGGGTCGTGTCAACTTGTGTCTGCGAGCATGAGGCCCTGTCCAATCAATCAATGCCTGCCAGCTACAGAATACACAGCCGCTTGGCAGCTGACCATCACTAGCGGCGGTTAATGAGGCAGAACGACCAGCTTGTTGCAGCTACAACTCGTTTTCACCTATAGATGATGGTCATGGGAAGTATCAAATGAGAATGGAGCGTCTTGCTAATCGGCACCTTCCAAGCTCAGAAACGAGCACGAGAGGCCGAAGGATCCATTTCTCGTATTTCTCCTTATGACCCCCAATTAGCGCTGGACATCCATCCGCCTGTTGCAGCAGGGTACATCATTGCCCGATTTGACGCCTGTATTTTTACCGTTTGTCCCGTAGGAACCATGTGCACTTGGCTTCATGAGGAAGGCCCGCTAAATTTCTTCTTGTCGCTCATTTGACTTGTTGGGGAATCGTTTTGTTTCAAGTCACCAATTTTCCCTTGGCTTATAAAGCCCCGTCTGAAGAAAGGGCGCTTAGTTCACGCTATGGTTTCTTTGTATGCAATTGTGAGGCAGATTCTCAATCGTCGTTAGTCGTCGTTGTCTCATGATTGATATAAAAAGATTGCAATGATGAATGAAGGGATCATGGGCACAATCAATGTGCACCACAGGATTAAAGGCCTAGACAATCCTCCGCGCATTCATCTAGCCGGAAAGAGCGAGACTTTTGTAGTTAATATATATGTGCCAGGAGACCTTGAAAGGAACCTTTGAAGGCTTTCGGCGCTCTAGGATCGCCAAACAGCAGCGCCGCCAGTCACTATCCTTCTACCAACGAGCATTAGAGCCTATCTAGATGATGAATTTCAACGATCTCTAAGAGTCTAAGAGCACCAAAAACTCGGATGCATTCCGCCCGACATCCCCAGGCTGGGCATCCGCATATCGCTCTTAATAGTAAATATTTTACCGTTGAGTCACCATCGTGAGTAATTTGGCGTGCTAGACTCGGAGGTTTCTGTCTTCGTCACCCTTGTTCTTTCTACCTAGTCAATAGTAAGCGCCATTCCCACTTCCCCGCGTAGGCAACCACAGCAAAAGGTCCAAAGCCGATAATCCGAGTCGACGGCGGTGAGTATTCCCCGGAGATCCGGCCAGATAAGATGGCGAGCGAGAAGTCGGACCGAGATTGATAAGCCAGCTCGTGCCGATCCCGCGTTGCACAACAGGTATAAAGCCCGCGGTCGGTGTTTCGTCTCTTGTAAGCCTCGTCATTCATCGATCCGTTCATTGTCTACCTCCATGATGACTAAAACATCAAGCCAACCCGCCAACTCTGGGGAGGACCCTGAACTTGTTATAAGTCCTGTGACGGACGTCGAGTTGGCCGCCATCTCAAAAGCGGACTCGAAGAAGAGCGACCAAGACCCGTTCCTCGTTACCTTCAACCCGGAATACGATGAGGAGAATCCCCAAGACTGGCGCTCAGGCCGTAAATGGGCAGTCACAGATGTGATCTCTGCCACTGGCTTCAATCGCATCATGGTGTCCACCATCATGGCACCGGCTTTGTCCACCATTGCCCAAGAGTTCGATATGAACTCCGCCGAGTCGGTCATGGCGCTGTCTATTTACCTTCTCGCCACCGCATTTGGTCCGCTTGTTATCGGGCCATTGTCCGAGATATACGGCCGTTCGGCGATTCTCCATGCTTCAAACGTCTGGTTTCTTGTCTGGAACATCGCCTGCGGCTTTGCCAATTCGAAGGGCGTATTAATTGCCGCCCGCTTCATGGCCGGGTTTGGCGCCAGCTCTGTCTATGCTCTATCTGCAGGTGTCCTCGGCGACGTCTGGAGTGCCGAGCAGCGTGGCCGGTCATTGGGTGCCTATCTGCTCATTCCCCTGCTTGGTGCGGCAGTTGGTAGGTCTCAGCCAAACATAAGATGATCACCTACTACATCCGTTTCTAATATTAAATCTACGCAGGTCCTATTATCGGTGGTTTCATGGCTGCCCGTACTACTTGGAGGTGGATGTTTTGGTCTACCTCCATCTTTCAAGCCGTCATGATTGCTGTGGCATATCTGACCTTCCGTGAGTCATACGCGCCGCTGATCCTTCGCCGTCGAGCTGAACGGCTCCGGAAGGAAACCGGCGACTCGCAATACCAAACCCTGGAGGAGCGGCAGTACGGACACAAGTCTGCGCTGTCCACCCTCTCCCGTGCCCTTTCTCGGCCCATCCGGATGCTTCTGTTTCACCCCATCATTCAAGTCACTGCGGCGATATCTGCATTTCAGTATGGGATGTTGTATATCATCCTCTCCACTTATTCCGAGCTTTGGGTTCAAAAGTACTCCATGTCCGTGGAGCTGAGCGGCCTCCATTACCTCGCCATTGCACTTGGTGAAATTGCAGGTTCCCAGGTGGGAGGGAAAGTAATGGACTACTTATACAAAAGAATGCACGACTCACAAGGTCCCTCCTCCAGCGGCGAACTTCAGGTCCCGGAGTATCGCATCCCGCTCATGCTCCCCGGGGCTCTCATCGGGCCTTTGGGACTCGTTGTCTACGGATGGTGCGCCCAATATCAAGTCCATTGGATCGTTGTTGACATCGCAATCTTCGTCTACATGTTCGCATCGCAGATGTCTGGTATGCCGTTGATGGCTTATGTCATTGAAACATATGGCGACCACACGACGAGCGCCACAGCAGCTTCTCAGTTTTTGAAGAGCTTGACTGCTTTCCTGTTTCCGCTGTTTGCCCCGATCATGTACCAGGCTCTTGGTTATGGATGGGCCACCACCACGCTGGTATTTGCTGGGCTAGTTATTGGACTGCCTGCGCCTCTTGTCATCTGGTTCTTCGGGGCGAAACTGAGGGCCAAGGCTCAGAGTAGTTACTGAGTTATCAAGTTGGAAGTGAGGAGATTTTTGGGTGATAGTTAAATACTCAACAACAGCGGCAAGGAGGGGCGACACGGCAAGATGGCTCCATACAATGTCGAAGGGTCGTCGTAGCTTGGCCAAAACTCGAAATTCATCAAATAGTTAGAGAAAATCACCTTAGAAAACTCGCTATGTACGGGTCTTCCAAATTTCTCAGACAAGTTTGGACTTTCGTCCATAAATCCAATCGTTTGATGTGGCTATGTACACAATATACAGCGATTCCCACGTGGCTGTTCTAAACGTGAAACGTAACCCAGCTTCTGGATACGACACGGCTCCTAGCCAGACTGGGCATACATAAGATTAAAGTGGAGAGAGAGCGTATATCTGACCGGCTGAGCAAATCGAAAATCTCACCCTTCGGTATCTACTGCTGCCTGGTCAGATTCGTAAACTACACCTCTATCCATTAAAAGAGTGGTGACGGCGGCATGAGGCAGTCTAATCTCTTAGCTACGGGTTTTGTGATATTTGTTAAACACTATGGCCCACACAATCAGCGACTTGAAGAAATCTATCGGACACGATGGCCTGAGATATGGGCCGACAGCCTGGAAATCGGCCTGCTACGTTCAACCCCGAGGCCTTTCCTTCTCGTGGCTGCCATGGCCTTTATGGCCATTCTCAAAATATCAGAAAAATCTCTTAGAGAGTTAAAAAAAAGTGACAGAGATATAAGTTAGGTCATTAGAATATCAAGTCTACAAAGCAATAAAAGGGAGGAGAATATCAATAAATAGGTAGGTCAAGTATAAGCTTGCATGGTTATGTAAAGCACACAACTTTTTGAAACCCCTCCAAGTCATTTAAAAATGCATCTTAAGAGGGCTTCAGGTCGTATATGCACTAAATAGGGGTTTATAAGCTAGATGGGGCCACTTCTACTTTCATAATCATACCGTCGACAGGTCTAGCAGAGATTTGGAAAGTCTATATTGAGAGCCGAAAGAAAATAATCAGAAACGTATTCAGATGATGGCTGAGGGGGAGAACACAATAACTCACGGAATATAGCTCTGATTTGGTCTTGTACTGCCCCATGTTATCGAGCACTGGTTGGCCCTTATCATCCAAGTCTGACTCGCCAAGGCCGACTTTGGAGAACTTATACTTGTGGGCCAGAATGGTGATGGCGATGCGCGCTTCAATATTTGCAAGTTCCTGCCCGATGCAATTCCTCGGACCCCTCTCGAATGGTCTCCAAGCACCGGGAGGGAAAGAGCCCGACGAGGCCATGAAAAGAGACTCATCGTCTCCCGTGCCCTTGGAGCCGCCACCAACGAGCCAGCGTTCTGGTCGGAACTCTTCCGCCGTTTCGCCATATACGGCTCGGTCACGGTGGATAATAGTGTGATTGATGTACATCCAGGTACCGTCCAGACAGTATTCGCCCTGAGGTGTGGAAACTATACATGTGCTTCCAGAGTTGGGCATGGTCATCCGGACGGAGCCGGCTGGTGGGTGCAGTCTAAGGGTTTCGCGTATAACAGCCGAGATATACGTCATTTGGTGAATCAGCTCTGCTCCTCCCGAAGATGAAAGTCTGGCGCAAATGGCGCGTGGATCCTGTGCATCAGAGCCGAAGAGTGTTTTGACTTCTTCCTGCACGGCCTTGAGAGCATGTGGAGTACGGGAGAGCTCATATATTGCCCAGTCGATAAGAATACTAGTCGTATCATGACCAGCCAGGAGGAACGACTTGATTTGGTCGAGGGTTTCCTCTAGGATC